TAGTTGGGTCGCATTAAACTTTGATTTACGTTATTTATTTGGAAGCTTGGAGTTTTATTACGGTTAACCAACATGTATCACGCCGGTGATTGATCGTGAAAGTTTCGAGGGAATTAGTAATTCATTAGAGACCAAAGTTGCATGAATGTAATATTTTATTTGCAATTTTGTTGGATTATGGAAGCAAATTGGAAAGATTTATTTAGACTCTATCATATAATTTTATAAAATTTCATTCTTAGCTAGTTAGTCAATCCACTATCTTTACTTATCTATATAATAATTTTCTGACCAGTTATTTTTAATAACTTTGTCTAGTAATTTTTCATGTTCTAAATGATCCTAACCTTCTAAATATATCCACTACTTTAGTCGTACTCTAGATGTCTTAATTTATGAAATAAACCTAGCTGTATTTCACGAATAATTCCCTATAATCTGAAATATCCCTATATTCGAACTACCCTTGAAATAGCAATCACTGAATAATTTAAGAACCTGAGTCTCTAGTATTCTAAATACATATCTAATCTCGCCAAAATAGTCAGAATTTGAACCTAAAATTTAAATTCTATTCGAGCCTTACATTGCAAAGTGTAAAGGTACAAGTAAAACAAAAAAATCTCATTAACTACCTAACTTTAATTTAACTTGTCTTATTTAACTTATCTCAACTGTTCCAGCACTTTTAGAATAGTTTTGAACCTTTTGTTTGAAAATGCTTTCGCAAGGAAAAGGACGATGAAATACACAGACGCTTCTACCACCCATGGTATTTTCGTTTAGCACTTAATTATGCGCATAATTATGGGGAGACATACGGAGCTGTGAAGTTAACGCAAAGCTTCACTCAAGTAACCTAATCGTTGATAGGAAGTGCAGTTTAGCGAACCGCAAGAAGTTGCAGAAATTCGTATATATCGAACCCTTTTGAACGGTGGAAGGCAAACTTTGGTTCTTCGTCGAGAAAACCTCATATAACGGCCGAGGAAACTTTCAAATAACAGGGAAAGTTATAGCTCAGCCTCTGTAGATCGCGGTAAACAACTCGTTGGAAAGCAATAAATCACCCTTGCCCTACCTAAAAATTGCTTTCTAAATATTAATGGCTACCACGTTCACAGATGGCGCCACTCTGAAACGAATATTACTGTGGCCATCCTCAGAATGTATTAGTCTGGAATTTTCTTATTATCAGAGCTCAGTGATTCTTGCTAAAGTATCCTAAAGTTTCAATTTGTACTATTGAATTGTAGTTAAACGCACGTGTATATAAGTAGGAGAGGAAGACTAATAAAATTAACTGACCAAAGGTTTCTCCTTTAACAGAACTTTCTTGATAATGTTCTATATTTGTGCACCTAACCAGATGTGGGAATTGATCTCTGCTAGAGGTATGGTGTTGCCAATTATAGTAGATTATTCAGAAATCTCAAGTCAAGGGTACGCCATTGATCACCTTAATCTGTGTTTTCAACAGAGTTAGAGACTTGAGAGACAAGTAAATAATGACAGAGTGACAAGAAGACCTTAAATGGCTACAAGAGTTGTTCTTAAATTTTGATGACCATAATAGTCAATATTAACAAAGTGGATTGGTAATCAAATAATTAATTGATGTTCAATAAATTTTCTTTCGAAAATTTTGTCTTTGATCTCATTTTATGAATCATGAATAATTGTAAATTAAGCATTCTTACTGTTAGAAAGTAATTACTGAACTTCAATACCCAATACTGCTAAATCGCAATTTTGTTTGAGAACAAGTTGTAAGTTCTGAATGAATAGAGGTTAACCATCATACTATCAAAAACCAATTAATAAACTTCTTTAATACCTGCTGTTGCTAAATCTCTCAAGAACTTTTGTAAAATCAGTTTATTCAGTTTAATCTTGAATAGATATACCATTATAATATCATTAAAGAACAGTTGATAAAGTTATTTAATACTGTTGTTGCCTCCAAAATTTTTGTTACTAAATAAAATTTTTTCGAAGATAAATTTATGCATAAATAATTCATACATGTACATTTCAATAACATTGAAATACTAAGGATGTCAACAAATACTAGATAGATAGTGACACTCTTTAGTGACGAAAATCACTAGATGTATTACCAGATAAACAAGTCCTATTGTATTCTCGTAATAAATAGAAAATATAAAGGGAAAAAAAAGTAAGAAACGAAGGTTAAAAATTTGAAAAAGTAACCTCGATAAGTATAATGATAAACTTTAACTTTAATTCAAATATTCAAGTTGCCTAAAGTTCGAACAAGTTATCTAGAAGTAGTGACACCATTTATACCACTGATAAAAGTTACTAGATAAATTACTAGACGAGTGAATCCCACGTTACATTTATAACAAGGAAAACAGAAGATAACGATTGAAAATTGAAAATTCAGTCGTGATAAGTGAAATGTTGAACTTAATTCGATACGATTTTGAAAAGGACCTCTGTAAAACGTTTCTCGGCTAACATTATTTGTACTGAACATGTGCAATAGTGTCGAGATATAATAATTTCCGTTGTGCTGCTCCAGTTCGCAGGGAACACGGCCGAGTATCTGCGTAATACATTATTAAAATTAACGATTCGTGGATGGCTCGGTGTTTGCGAGCTTTCACGGATTCGTTCGAGGTATTAAATTCGACATTTCGCGATGACGTGCTTCTGCTTGCCGATTCACAACTCGGCGACTATTATCTCCTCGCTGGGAGAACCATTCTAAACCGTTCTAAATACAAAAGGTTACATTAAAATCCCGCGAAAATCTACAAAAATATTCGGGTATGATGGTACTTTCTGTCATACTTCAAAATTTAATGGATTTTATTTTAAACAAAAGGTAAGAGATAATTTTTTTTTTTTCTATACCGGAGTTACATGAATTATTTTTACATACTGATTACTTAATGGGTATTTTGTTTGAAGTTTCGTAAATAAATAATTTGGATTTTCAATATCGAATTTTGCATATATTTGAAAGCAAACAGGGGAAAATATTTGCTTCGCGAGCTGTTTCGATCATGTTTCAGCTGACATAATGAAATTGGAGATTATTTGAGAAATTATTTCGAGAAATATTTATATCCATGGTAGAACGAATTATATAAGAATTATTTTCGTGTTGATAAACATTTTAAATATAACAATTCTTCTTATTTTTAGAAGATGAATTCTATAAAAAATAATAAACTAATTATCCCAAATTGAAATAGGATCATTTACCCGTGTGAATTTTTTCTCTTCCTATTAAAATACAAAAATTCTGTCTTTAATCTAATTTAATTAATATAATTCAATGTGTAGAATTATTAAAAATTTACTTGAACAAAATTATTTGCACACTATGGAATACAAATGGCCATTAATTAAAAGCTGACAATTATTTTTGAATTATTTTATCACAAATGAAAAGAATTAAAATTCAATAACAGATAATTAATTATGCGCCGAATATTTTATTGAAATCATAGCCAACTCTTCATATTCTCCCCCTCCCTTAAAAATACAAAGCTCTTGTGGAGAGCAATTCGTTTCTTAATAAATTCTGATTTGCAACGTTGGTATTACGGGGTAAGGTAGGGTACAAAGCGAATGCGCGGGAGCAAATAATTCTAGGGACTTTTAGTGGCTCATAATGGCGCTGTTTCGCCTTGCACAAACGCCGAATTTTTTTCACTCCAGTAAAGAATCCCGTAGCCGTTTGTTAGACTTTAGCGGTAACCATGGATTTCTGGACACACTTTTATCCAGCCGCTTTTAACCATACGGTACGAGCTTTTGAATTTACTCTGTTGACTTTCCGGATAAATTGGTCGAATAAGTCTGCCCCCCCCCGCTCCCCTCCCACACCGAAAAGGATTTCTTTTATATCGCCATCAAAAGAAGAGAATCGTTAAATCCCATTCTATTTCTTTTTTCTTTTCACTTTTTGTCGGCACCCAGTCCCAGGGGGTCGAAACATTTTTCATAGGGATTTACGAGTCTTAAGTGCACACAAAGAAGATATTTTTTTTTTTTTCACCTTCGAAGCACTTCAAATAATAATTTGGTGACTAAACGTGGAGACGGCGGGCTGAGGAACGTGTTATTTTAAATTTCGTTGAAGTCACTGTAGAAATTCTGACAACGTTCTTAGAAAAATTTCCACAAAGTCGGGAAACTTTCCAAAGAATATACGTTGAAAATAAACGAAGTTAACTTTGAAATTTCTGAGTTGAACCTCTAAGGAAAACATTCTCCAAGTTTTTTTTTTTTTTTCTCGCAATGTAATGACATTCAAATTAAGTCACAACATGATGAGAAGTAAAACGAGTATAAGATGGTTTTTCTTAGGAACTTTAAGATACTTACATAGAGACGTTGAGGAAGACCGACAGTAGAAATTCGTTGTAAATCGCCATCGAGATGAATCGGCTCTCGTTGAACTCTGACGGTGTCTTTCTCACCACGATACACAGTCTTATCCCCCATATGAGGAACATAACTTCAACTGGAACAAAGTACAACGATCTTTACTATTATCTTAAAATTAATCTGAATCGAATTGTGTTTATGACGTCTACAGCTTATCGTTTCATCGGAATCAAAATTTCTTCCTCAAGTTCCACGTGTTTCTGAATTCTGAGATTCACTCATACGTTGAATTTGAATTAACTATGGATCAGTGGTATCAAAAGTTTAAATCAAGTTTGATCGCGCCTGTTTCAAGTGATTCAGTTTGGATTAGGTTTGTAACCTAGGTTAAGATTAACCCGTCGGTCGAGTTCAAATTATTCGCATTAGATTAAAAATCGGTCAACGAAGTATCTTGCAAAATTTCTACGTAACATTTTCAAACTTTATGCGATATAATCATCATAACTGTGTTTCACTACACAATGTGCAATAATATCCTCTTAAAATGAAGATAGAAAAATCATGAAAGTGCCTCTACTGTTTCGACAACTGCTACTTCAGACGATAATAAATTAATACGAGAAGAAAATTCCCTAGATTCCCTCTTTCATTAAACGAAATTGTTCCATTATAGCGGCTTGGTTAAATTGTTTCCCAAGTGTGTGTTACACAGTTATAATATTGTGTCATCTATTGGATAAGTAGAGAAAATACCATTATATTCAATGGCCAATTTGGCAACGTGGAATTCCCTATTAATTTGATGCTTAATTTGGTAGAGAGATAACATCAAAGATGAAGAGTCTTGTCTCTGATGTGATTATCAGAAACATCTTCTTGGTAATATGATTTAATAGCTATTTAGGTTATGTATTTTATCTACCGCTTATCATTGTTTGTTTCCTGCGATAATCATGATTACAAAATAATTGGTAATTTTGAAAATTAACGTACAGCCACGAATTCCTAACTTTCTTGAATTATTTTAAGTTTAGATGTATCTTAATATTTTAATCCGTGAATCATTGTATTCGGTATTAGAAACTGGTTAGTCTACGTATTTTCCTAGGGGGAAAATTTATGGCTATTCGATTAAAATCCTAGGGAACGTTAGAACAGAATTTAGAATTTCGAAATTTCTATCGATTCTTGCTTGGTACAAATCTCTAAATTTTCAAAAATCTAAAATTCCTAAATTCCTGAATTTCTAAAATTACTTGTAACAAATATGACAGGAAAATAATGGCACAACCTCAAAAAAAGAAAGGGAATGGATATTTTTCATATTTCATATTTAATCCATTAAATCTAATCTCGTTTGCTTTCCTATCGCTAAATAAAATGACGACTGAAAGCGGTGCTCCATTCGATTGCAATTGTTCGAAATCGTTCAGGATTATGACTCCATTTATAATACATTTGCTACCCCTTTATTTATATATTTCAGTTCCATTAGACTGGAATAAAATGATAAATATTTCCTTAGTGAATAAAACTCACAATTCAAAATAGCCAGCTTGATATTTGTGCAGACTAATTCAAATTCATATTTTATACTTCATAAAGAGGATCGTTTATTATAAATTGCAGTTTTAAATTTAAACGCCTCATTTTATGTTTGAATCCGGTAGCAACAAACTTGTGGGTATTTTGTATTTGCCTACACGCAATTTCGGTATAAAACTGGCAATCTTTACTTTAGTTACTTTCCTTCGAACAAATTCTCCCTAAACTGAAACAAGTTTCTTGTCTAGTAACATTCTCTTAGGTAAATTTTCTTCAAACCAAAATGGAACGATATTATTCTGGAGAAAGTTTCTACCGAAGTTTGGCAACTTTGAAATTTCATAACTCGGGAATTGAGAAATTTGGGAATCTAAGAATTTAGAAATTTCGTGTTGAATGAAAATTTTGAAATTCCTACATTTTCCTAAATTCTTTTACACTAGAGTTTCCTAGCAATTTAACCGAAGTTATTAGATGCCTAAACCTAATTACTTAAACCAATTAAACATTTTTAAATTAAGTGCACCCTAGAGTTCTCAACATGGCCACCCATTTTACCTCTGAAATCCCCTAGTTAACCAACTTTCAAGTTAACCAAGAAATTTAAATACTGAACATCCCGGTTCTGAAATATTTTATTACTGAAGCGAGGAAAATCCAGCGGCAAACTGTTCTAAATTTCTTCTACCTTACGGTTGTAAATATGTTCCGAAATTTTTTTCACTCAGCATCTGGCAAGCGTCGTTAACAGTCCAACCACGTTTACCACGCTTGTTTAACCCAAAAGCAAAAGAAAGACGAAGGTTATGAATGAGGAGAAGACAGAAGGCACCAGGGGCAAAAACAGCTTCAGAGAAGGTTGTTTTTTCTCATCAAGGAAGCTCTCTCCGATAATGCGCTCAAGAAAAATGCGCCGGCCGGTAACAACGAAAAAGTTCAGCAGTTTCTGACGTAAGCGAACATGCATAGAGCTTAGCGGTGGAGCCCTCTATGTCGTCGAAGTGAAGAAATTGAATTAAGCTAAATTTCCAATGTACAAGGTTACTAGACAGAAAAAGAGAAATTAATACAAAAGAGAAATTAATACAAAAAATAATTCATCGGAAAATCAGATACCTATTTAGCATTTTGTGTCATTTCTTAAAATGGAGGGGGACAATTTTTTGGAGTTTTTCTCCAGGGGAAAATATTAAGATACACGAGGATATATTAAGGCAAAATTAGCTACCATTTTCGTGCTATTTACTAAATCGTCATCATATATCATTCTGCAACGTTTCTTAAATTTTTTTCCAATATCGCGGAGATTTAATAGACTTATTGTTTATTGTTTTTGTTTGTTAATTATTTGTAAGAAAGATTATTATTATTTTGGACAGATTACTATTTATTTACTATTTTTAGGAATTTGTATTTTTCAAACGCCGAAATAATAAATCCTCGTCTGTTGTTTTTCTATTTCTTAATTTTCTGTAGCGTCTCACCATTGGTACTGAAATATTTATTTCATTTATTCCCTAGGAGTTCTTTAACTTTTAAGGTTAGAATAATCTATATTATCTAAACTATCAGTTCCCTAATTTCTCAACTTTTCCCCCCGACAGTATCTCGACCTTTTAACATTAATAATTATAAATCTTCTTCAATCAATTTTCCCATCGTTGTTCAACGATTATCGAATTATGTTAATTAGAGGGAACTGTGAGCGAAAGATTCTCCTAGCGAGAGAACATAATTCCCTAGCGAGAGAAACGCGAGCTGTGGATGAAAGGGGAAAAGGCAAAGGGAATCATCGGAATTCCGAGTGAAATTTCAACGGAATGATTGCTTTTGTCGCCCGATAGTATGCCTTTGGAAAAATCATCGCGCAGCTTGTAATGGTTCTTCAATCGTTTTTTATTTGTCACCGCGGTTGCACTCTCTTTCATCGCGGCGAGTGGGTGAGGGGGGGGGG